ATAAGAGAAGCATAAGTCAGGCATGGGCCAACTTTGGCCCTCCCTCCAGGTGTTTTGGACTTCAACTCCCACAATTCCTAACAGCCTACCGGCTGTTAGGAATTGTGGGAGTTGAAGTCCAAAACACCTGGAGGGAGGGCCAAAGTTGGCCCATGCCTGATAGAAGTAAACTCTTCCACCAACTTAATATAGAAGATGGTTCAATTAAAGAGTCCAAGAAGACGCCAGACTTTAGTGAAAATTCGGAGATCCCCAACTCCAGATGTAGGTATTTTGCGTCATTCTTGCACCTCAAAAGGTGGCAGGGAAAACATGTATTTGGAGGCTGAAAGAGAGCCTGAAGGCAAGCGGATTCCCCCTATTGCTATCTGGTCAAGAATGGAGAGCAACCGCCTTAGCACCAATTGAAGAACTGCACAGATGATGGGACGTTGGCCAAGGTCTCCAAGAAGCCAAGGCCTCCAAGCTTCATTAATGCATACCGTACTCATCAGAAGACTTCCACAAAGAAGGGCCATGGAAACAGGCAGGAAGAGGCCGATCTTCGTGTCTCCTTCCATCCCTGCCAGTGGGAACTCTACTTCTAATGATATTGGTTGGTTCCCAGGCTCAACCTTGTGACGACCGATGGGAATCACCTATGTTCTGAGGCTAGCTGTGGAAGACAGGTGTGGGATGGATGCCCATCCCGGACTACGCAAGAAGATCTTGAGTGGGAAATGCTTCCTGAGAAGGAGAAAGAGTCCTGGTGCGTTTGTGCACCTGGACAGGTTTGATCCATCTCGAAGATGGTGCATGAGGGCCATCATCTTGGTAGGAACCCACTTGGGCCTTTGCCTTATGGAGAAGGGAACTTGTGTTGGGTGTGACGACAAGATGCTGAGAAACACCAGCACATGGTTCACACTCAATTTTCCTTCAATGCTGGGAGGCAGCAACAATTTGGGGCTCAACTTTCTGTAACGTCCCCAATAACCAAAGGTCCTGTACTTTTTGTTTGCATGGAAACTCAGGCCAAATTGTACACAGGCTTCACAATACACAGATATGGCATCTACACATCCTTTGCGGTGTGGGAAACACCGATGTCGCACAGTAAGTGTCTGGCACAACAGGTAAAGGTCCACCAGGGATGGGATAGAGTTTTATGTATTGTCAAAGGCTTTCAGGAATCACTCGGCTGTTGTGAGTTTTCTGGGCTGTCTGGCCATGTCCCAGAAGCATTCTCTCCTGATGTTTCACCCACATCTATGGCAGGCATCCTCAGAGGTTGTGAAGTCTGTTGGAAACTAGGAAAATGGGGTTTGTATAGCTGTGGAATGATGTCCATGGTGGGAGCAAGAACCCTTGTCTGTTTTGTATATATTGTTTATATAGGTTCTTGTGGGTTTTTTCGGGCTATAGAGCCATGTTCTAGAGGCATTTCTCCTGACGTTTCACCTGCATCTATGGCAAGCATCCTCAGAGGTAGTGAGGTCATTCCACAGATATATAAACCCCTTTTCCTAGTTCCAACAGACCTCACTACCTCTGAGGATGCTTGCCATAGATGCAGGTGAAACGTCAGGAGAAATGCCTCTAGAACATGGCTCTATAGCCCAAAAAAACCCACAAGAACCTAGTGATTCCAGCCATGAAAGCCTTCAACAATATATTGTTTATATGTTTGATGTTTTATACTTTATTGTTATGTTGTTTATTTTATTGCAATGTGTATTTTTGTACTGCAATTTGTTGTTCGGGCTTGGCCCCATGTAAGCCGCTCCGAGTCCCCCTTGGGGGAGATGGTGGTGGGGTATACATAAAGATTATTATTACTATTGTTGTTGCTGTTTGTAGGAGGCATGTGTGAATGTTGCAACTGCCCGCCTTGATTAGCACTGAATGACCTAGCAGTTTCAAGTTCTGGCTTCTTACTGCCCGAGGGAATCCTTTGTTGGGAGGGGATTAGCAGGCCCTGATTGTTTCTTGTCTGGAATTCCCGTGTTTTTGAATGTTGTTAAATAAACAAAGGATTCCCCCAGGCAGGAAGCAGCCAGGCTTTTCAATACAAATCAAGGCGACCAATTGCAACATTCACACTTGCTTCCAACAGACAAGAGTTCTTTCTCCCACCCTGGACATCATTCCACAGATATATATAAACATATCAAAAGGCAAGAATAGTTTGTGTATTATAAAGTTGGGATTGAATCACTTGCCAAGTTTCCAACAAATCTCACAACCTCCGAGTATGTGTGCCATATGAAACATTGCCATGTAACTCACAACAACCCAGGAACAGAGTTTTCCTAGAAATTGGTTGTTGTTGGTTTTTCGGGCTATATGGCCATGTTCTAGAAGCATTCTCTCCTGATGTTTTGCCTGCATCTATGGCAGGTATCCTCAGAGATGCAGGCGAAACGTCAGGAGAGAATGCTTCTAAGAACATGGCCATATAGCCCAAAAAACCAACAACAACCCAGTGATTCTGGCCTTGAAAGCCTTTGACAATACATTTCTCGAAACGGGTTACAATGGAGTTGGGTAGCCTTTGGAATACAGGGTTGTTGTAGGTTTCTTTGGGCTATATGGCCATGGTCTAGAGGCATTCTCTCCTGATGTTTCGCCTGCATTTATGGCAAGCATCCTCAGAGGTAGTGCCTGCATCTATGGCAAGCATTCTCACTACCTCTGAGGATGCTTGCCATAGATGCAGGCAAAACGTCAGGAGAGAATGCTTCTAGACTATGTCCATATAGCCCGAAAAAACCTACAACAATCCAGTGATTCCGGCCATGAAAGCCTTCGACAATACTTTGGAATACACTTTGGATCCTATTCCACACTCCAATATTCCTGGAAAATCAGGAAAATGGCTGAACTAGGTAGACGAGCGCGGCGCATGGAGAACAAACAAACAACATGCAAACTCAGAAGAGGCGGATTCTCTAATTTGTGAACGGAACCCGTTTTGATTCCTCTTCACCCCCAGTTTCTCCCAAGTCAATAACCGTGGTGCAGGAAAATATTTATTTTATGCCATAAAAATGAAACAAAACAAAATTCTGAACGATCTTGGATTATGGCAGCAACCAAACGCACACTTTGCCAACAGGCACCGCGATCTTTGGGGACGCTGCGGCAACACTAAACCGCTGCTTCAAAGCATGGCTTCCGCTTCAATGAAAGCAGGATTTTGATGCTGAAGCGCCAAACAAGGAGCAACTGGTCAGCTTTGCCTTCCTTCCTTGAAAAAGAATAATGACTGGCCAGCAGCGTCATTAAGAAACAGGTCCCCAAACGATTCTTTAACCAGGGATGAAACCAAACAGGAGATGCACCCAAAAGTGAACAGATAACTTCAAGAAAGATCAAGGAAACGCAGACAAAAACAATTATTGCCATACTGGAGAGGTGCCATCCCTCAAATGTTCCACAGTGTCAACATAGGAAGATTCTGCCCCGAACTCATTGCGTTACCATGTGCAGCACATGGCTCCAGAGGAGAGAGTGGTGGGCTTTGTAGAAAAGACCAGAAATCTGCTTCAAAAGGGGGGGAAAGTAGGTATATTTTATGGCAACCTTGCTTGAAAAGGACCAAAGTTTGATCCAAAGTTTGCAAATGGTTCTGCTATATTCCTTTCCAAATGGGTCTACTACCATAGTCCTTTGCAAATATTACTATATTCAAGGAGAATGCGGGTGGGAGAGATTATTTGATTTCCAGAAGCCAAGAGAAAGATGCAATCGTCGTAACGGTGACTGGAAATTAACCTGGATTCTTAACTTTGCTCATTTCCAGGGCAAGAAGGAGGAGGAAAGCGCACGTCCAGACCAGCTTGCATTTCAAATCCTCCCCAAACAAACATTTTAAAAAGGAACTATATGGATTCTAAAAAACCAAACATATCAAAAGGCAAGAATATTTTGTGTATTATAAACTAAAGTTGGGATTGAATCCCAGTGGATTTAATTTGCGACCGGAGAGGTCGACCCATGGATGTTTCTCGAAGGAGAAATGCTCCGGAGCGAGAGAAGCGACTTCAGAACCGGGGGAAAGAATGGCTCCAGAGATCTGATAGCAACCACAAAAAGGGTCGAAGTCATTCCACAACGTTACTGTGCAATCTATAGGTTCATGGGCCCTTTTGGAGGACATAACGACAATTTGCACAGAGTGACCCAAAGATTGCTGTGGTTCACAGCGACACAAGTCACCAAGTCAAAGCTCCAAACCCAGAACGGCAAGCCAGGTGGTGCCGAGCAGGTATCTCAGCACCAGAGAAAGCCAAGCACACAAGTCAAGCCCATCAATTTGTGCTCGACCTGCCCAAGAGTTCTAGGTGCTTCAACCAGTTTGATGACATTGCTCTCTTACACAAAACCAACCGGAGTTGTGCCCACAAAGCAATGCCATCAATCTGTACCTGACCTGTCCAAGAGTTCTAGGTGCTTCAGCCAGTTTGATGACATTGCTCACTAACACAAAGCCAACCGGACTTTTGCCCACAAAGCAAAGCAATCAATCTGTGCTCGACCTGTCCAAGAGTTCTAGGTGCTTCAACCAGTTTGATGACATTGCTCTCTAACACAAAACCAACCGGAGTTGTGCCCACAAAGCAAAGCAATCAATCTGTACTCGACCTGTCCAAGAGTTCTAGGTGCTTCAAKCAGTTTGATGACATTGCTCTCTTACACAAAACCAACCGGAGTTGTGCCCACAAAGCAATGCCATCAATCTGTACCTGACCTGTCCAAGAGTTCTAGGTGCTTCAAACAGTTTGATGACATTGCTCTCTAACACAAAGCCAACCAGAGTTGTGCCCACAAAGCAAAGCAATCAATCTGTACTTGACCTGTCCAAGAGTTCTAGGTGCTTCAACCAGTTTGATGACATTGCTCTCTAACACAAAACCAACCGGAGTTGTGCCCACAAAGCAATGCCATCAATCTGTGCTCGACCTGTCAAAGAGTTTTAGGTGCTTCAATCAGTTTGATGACATTGCTCTCTACTCTAACACAAAACCAACTGGAGTTGTGCCCACAAAGTAACGTAACTCAGTAGCAAGTAGCCGTAACGGACATACACAAAGACGAGGAGCCGTGCTGTTACCAAGCTGGAGGCCCTACCTCAACCCAAGCCTTTCAATTTGCAATGTAACTCAGCAGCAAGTGGCCATAAAGGATGTAAACAAAGATGAGGAGCCATACTGTTACCAAGCTGTAGGTCCTGCCTCGACCCAAACCTTCAGGGCAAAAGATTCCCACACATGGAAGACACACAGAAAGCAAATTCACAGGTTCGACTTCTCAGAATTAGTAATAATTGTTATGGGACCCGCAAGAGAGTCGCTATGCTAGAAAGGCCTCTGGCTCGGACTATGCCACTTTGAAAGGAGCCTGGGATCGTGGCAACTTCTGCTTCACCCTCAAGGCATCGGTGGTTTGACCTGTGTTATCGGACACAAGATTGGCCAAGCAAAACAACTTCCGGTTCAGGATCTACAACAGCCAATTGGGACTAATCCTGGCTCGCAATGAAATTTTGGCAGGTAGGCAAATTACGGTTTTGGCACATGGGTTTAAATGCGCTGCCTTCCCTCATCAAACGGTGCCATCCCATCTCCGTCTTCAGAACCTCCCCTCGAAGCAATCGGCATGACTCCCATCCGCTCCTCTTCTCACAGCCGCTGCCCGAATGCGGAACATCTGCACAGCGCAGAGAGGGAATGGGTGGATGTGAACAGGGCAAACATGGGATTTCTTGGCTGGTGGGTTTCTGGAAGGGGAGCGGAGGGGAGGGCGGTGCCCGCCAGTGTGTGGACTTTCCCTGCAGTGACTTCCCCGAAGCATCGGCGCCGCTCGCAACCGGGTCAGAACCGATGCCGAGGCTGTGGACCAAAGTGCATAGGAAGGTTGTGCTCCAGCTGGAGGTTCATCTGCGGGAAGTCATAGTTCACTCGCATGTTAGGCAGCGGGGGCACGTACGGGGCCGGGATGGGGCCGAGGTTAATGGGGCCGAGGTTGTTGTACAGCGGGCGGACGGGGGGCAAAGGGAAGGGAGGGTGCACAAAGGGGTACGGGGCCATTTGGTGGTGGAGGTTCTGCGGGACCGGCCTGGGGATGGCGTCGATCCGGGGGATTTTCTCCGAAGCCTTTTCCGCAGGGGGACCAATCCGCTTGAAACTGTTCTCTGGAAGGAAAACAAAAGAGGAAAAAGCCTGAGCAGACAGACAAGAAAGCGGAAAATACAGGTTGGTTGAATATATTGCCGGAAAGCTGATAGATTCATCACATCAGGTATGGGCCAAATTTGGTTGGACTTTGACGCCCACAATTCCTAACAGCCGGTAGGCTTGTCATGATAAAATATGATATATGGTTTGGAAGGAATTGTATGAAAGGTGAATGAATGAGAGCTAATAATTCTGAAGACACATTACAGTCTGGAAAACAATTGCATCTGTCAATAATCTATTTTTAAAGTTTTAACTATTGCATCTGGCCCAGCCATAGGTTTTTAAATTCTTGTGTGTTATTGTCTACTTATGAGTTATATTAACTGTATTGTTTATTTTTGTTTATTGCTTGTTGTTTTATTATTGCTTTGTTGTTTTGATGTGCTGCTGGGCTTGGCGCCATGTAAGCCCCTCCGAGTCCCTTGGGGAGATGGTGGCGGGGTATAAATAAAGCTATTATTATTATTATTATTATTATTATTATTATTATTATTAAGAGTGAAATTTAGGTACTGCTTATGCGGGGAGGCTAATTTAACTAATTTAAGATGCCATAAAACTCTCCAGCAGCGTGCAAAAGAATGAGGAAGTACTCCAGCGATGTCACAAATGGACAATGATTAACTGTTGAACTTTTGGGGCAAGAATTCAAAAAACATACCCTCATGAAGCTGGAAAGTTAAATAGCCTCTGTGTGTCTGCCTATCTATGTTATGTGTCTATGGCATTGAATGTTTTCCATGTCTATGTGCATTGTAATCCGCCCTGAGTCCCCTGCGGGGTGAGAAGGGTGGAATATAAATATTGTAAATAAATAATAATTAATAAATAACAGGTCGTGACGCAACAAGGAACTTCACCCATGTGGATACAGAGTTCTTACAATATCATCCAATGTCAAGACTTGGAGAGTGAGTGCGTGGTCATGAGTTCGAAGCCAGCCCAGGTCGGAGTAAGCTCCTGACCATTTGTCTAGCTTGCTGTCGACCTTTGCAGCCTGAAAGACAGTTGCATCTGTCAAGTAGGAAATTTAAATACTGCTTTATGCGGGGAGGCTAATTTAAGTAATTTACGACGCCATAAAACTCTCCAGCAGCATGCAAAAGAATGAGGAAGTACTCCATCGATGTCACAAGTGGACAGTGAAGCAACAGCTGCCCCAGTGGCCAGAATTCATAAAGCACACCCTCATGAAGCTGGAACGTTAAATAGCCTCTGAGTGTCTGTCTATATATGTGGTGTGTCTATGGCATTGAATGTTTTCCATGTCTATGTGCATTGTGATCCGCCCTGAGTAATAATAATAATAATAATAATAATAATAATAAACCTTTATTTATACCCTGCTAACATCTCCCGGAGGACTCAGTGCGGGGTGAGAAGGGCGGAATATAAATACTGTAAATAAATAAATAACAAATATGTTCTGTGCTTAAAGAGGCATCCACCGACTAACCTCCATTCTTCCTCTTTTGTTCCTCTTCGCCTTCTTTCTGAATCTCCTGGATTATCTTCTCATCGTCCTCCTACAAATGGGAAAGGAGATCTTAATACTGGCAGACGACACTCTGCGCAAAGTCCCTTTCCGTTCTATTAACGGGCCAGTCTCAGTTATGGAAACATGCAAATATATGTGACCCCACTTGGTTAGCATAAATATGCATTCGGCACTTTTTATTAATCCTCCCGGATCATTTGAAATCTTAACGCGGTAATCCCTTCTGGTTTCTGAGATTTTGCTGACAACTCTTCGAACGGAGGATTAGGAATTTATCTTTTTTGCAAAGATGGAAGGGGAGAGAGCTAAGTTTCTAGGGAATCTGCATCGGGAAGCAATCATGGTTGCTTCCCTGGAAACAACAGCATTGTCAAGGCTTCTGTGTGTTGGGTCTGTGCGCACTCAGAAGAAGACCTAAAAGCCACTCTAAACACCTTTGCAGAAGCATACGAGAAGCTCGGCCTGTCATTGAACATCGAGAAAACCAAAGTGCTCTTCCAGTAGTCGCCAGCCAATCCCTTTCCAATGCCAGAAATACAACATTAGAAAATGTTAACCATTTCCGCTCACTTGGCAGCCACCTTTCCACCAAAGTCAACTTCGACCCCAAAATACAACACTGCCTGAGCTCTGTGAGTGCAGCATTTTTCCAAATGAAGCAGAGAGTGTTTGAGGACCGGGACATCCATATGGAGACCAAGGTGCTTGTTTATTATTTATTTATTTATTTATTTGTACACTTATAACCGCTAACTTCTCAGCCTGGATCGGCGACTCAGTTGCGGTTTACAGCATTTAAAATCAATCTCCAGTTTAAAAACATATACAAAATACAATTACAAATTACAATAGCAAATTATTGGGCCACCAATAATAATCCCATATGTCTCAAGTTGAATCACAGTCCACAATTCGTTGTCCATATTTCTGTCCAAGGTCACCTAGATTCGAATCGGTTTCCACAGATTAGCCGAAGGCTTGTTTGAATAACCATGTTTTAAGTTTCTTCCTAAATGCCATCAGCGAAGAGGCTGATCGTATCTCTATAGGGAGGGCGTTCCAAAGCCGGGGGGCCACCACAGAGAAGGCCCTATCTCTCGTTCCCGCCAGCCGCACTTCTGAAGCTGGAGGGATAGAGAGAAGAGACTCTCCGGAAGATCTTAGGGTCCTGGTGGGCTGATAGGCTGAGATACGTTCGGATAGATAAGTTGGGCCAGAACCGTTTAGGGCTTTAAAGGCCAACGCCAGCACTATTTATAAAGCTATTGTTCTCCCAACCCTGCCATATGCCTGCGAAACGTGGACTGTCTACAGATGTCACATGCAACTCCTGAAACGATTCCATCAGCGCTGCCTCCAGAAAATCCTGCAAATCTCTTGGGAAGACAAGTGGACCAATGTCAGCATGCTGGAAGAAGCAAAGACCACCAGCATTGAAGCGATGCTCCTGCGCCATCAACTCTGCTGGACTGGCCAAGTTGTCCAAATGCCCAAAAATACAACACCACCTGAGCTCTGCGAGTGCTGCATTCTTCAGAATGAAGCACAGAGTGTTTGAGGACTGGGACATCCGTAGGGATACCAAGGGGCTTGTTTATAGAGCTATTGTCCTCCTAACCCTGCTATACGCATGTGAAACGTGGACTGTCTACAGATGTCAACATTGACACTGAAATACAACACTGCCTGAGCTCTGCAAGTACAGCATTTCTCCGAAAAAAGCAGAGAGTGTTTGAGGACCAGGACATCCGTAGGGATACCAAGGTTCTTGTTTATAAAGCTATTGTCCTCCCAACCCTGTTATGCGCCTACAAAACATGGACTGTCTACAGATGTCAACAATGACACTGAAATACAACACTGCCTGAGCTCTGCGAGTGCAGCATTCTTCCAAAAGAAGCACAGAGTGTTTGAGGACCGGGAAATCTGTAGGGATACCAAGGGGCTTGCTTATAAAGTTATTGTCCTCCCAACCTATGCGCCTACAAAACATGGACTGTCTACAGATGTCATATGCAACTCCTAGAACGATTCCATCAGCGCTGCCTCCAGAAAATCCTGCAAATCTCTTGGGAAGACAAGCGGACCAACGTCAGCGTGCTGGAAGAAGCAAAGACCACCAGCACTGAAGCGATGGTCCTCCGCCATCAACTCCGCTGGACCGGCCACATTGTCCGGATGCCCAACCACCGTCTCCCAAAGCAGTTGCTCTACTCTGAACTTAAGAACAGAAAACGGAATGCTGGAGGGGAGGAAAAGAGATTGAAAGATGGGCTCAAAGCCAACCTTAAAAACTGTGGCGTAGACACTGAGAACTGGGAAGCCCTGGCCCTTGAGCGCTCCAGCTGGAGGTCAGCTGTGACCAGCAGTGCTGCACGAATGGAGGGCGAAAGAGAGGAACGGGCCAAGAGGAAGGCGCATCAAGCCAACCCTGACCAGGACCACCTTCCACCTGGAAACCAATGCCCTCACTGCGGGAGAAGATGCCGGTCAAGAATAGGGCTCCACAGTCACCTTGGAGAATTATCCTACTCAGCCAACGAGGGATTGCCTAAGTAAGTAAGTAAATGTGTTGGGTGTAGCCGGCTCGCCGTGAAGGTGAGCACTTTTGGGCAGGATTCTGAACAAGTTGGAAAGAAGAAGGAGGGCGAAACGGCAGCTGCACCGTCATGTCGCCAAGAACTCGCTGCGTTCCCGGATGGCACCCTCACCCACACGACGGACGGACGGCGGAGCGTGACTAAGCCGCTTACAGAGGGAACACTGATCCCACCGGCGGTTTCCCGACCCGACAAAGCAGATGGCAGCAAGCAACCCCCTCCACCCCCAAACCCTCGCTTCCCCCCTCGCTTCCAGCCTTTCCGAGAGGCAGCTGGAGCGCAGCTAATCTTTTAAATGGCATTCGGCCATTAAATATTTAGATTAAAGCGGCAGCTTCTGAACGCTAGGCCCCATCAAGCAGGCAAGGCTTCCTTCCCGTGAAAGGCACTGGCTTTGGGAGCCAATCAGCGAGATCATTTAGCCTATCTGGAAAAGAGGAAAAATACATTTGGAGAGGAAGGTTAATTGAAATGAGGTGCATTTTCGGCTTGCATTGAGATGAAGAGAGTTGAATTTGGAGGGGAGAGGCATTTATTAATTTATTTATTTACTATACTTGTATACTGCCTTTCTCAGCTTTATCAGCAACTCAAGGCAGTTTATGACAAGTCAGTACACATAACAACAAAATGCAAGTTGAACACTGAAACAGTAAAAAACAAAACAACCTATATAAATAAAAATGTAATGTTCATTTGTGGGATCAACAGAACTCAAAAACCACTGGATGAATTGACACAAAATTTGGACAGCATACACCTAACAACCCAATATATGTCCTTCACTAAAAAAAATATTGATTTTGTCAATTGGGAATTGTCGTTGCTGGGATTTATAGTTCACCTACAATCACAGAGCATTGTGAACCCCACCAATGATAGAATTGGGTCAAACCTCCCACACAGAACCCCCATGAGGGCCACAGCAACACGTGGCAGGGGACAGCTAGTAGCAGCAATAAAAACAATAAAAACCAACATAATTATCACCAGCATCTCCTAGTTAAATAACATTGTCCAAGTTCCATTGTCGAGTGATTCCATTTCCTATGTCAGTTACTCTGCAGTGGAGCCAGCAAAGCAGAGGAGTTGTGTGCTCCCTGAGTGCCGCTCCTGTTAACAATCCGGCTGCTGTCCATTGGACCATTTGAAGCTTCCGGACAGTCTTCAAAGGCAACCCCATGTAGAGCGCGTTGCAGTAGTGAAGACATCTGCCCTTGCGCTATGCTCCTCTGCTGCTGAGTACGCATGCCCAGTGTGGAACACATCTCACCACGCTAAAACAGTAGATGTGGCTCTTAATGAGACATGCTGCATCATCACGGGGTGTCGGCGCCCTACACCACTGGAGAAATTACACTGCTTAGCCAGTATTGCACCACCTGACAACCGCCGGGAAGTAGCAGCCAATAGTGAAAGGACCAAGGCAGAGACATCTCCAGCCCATCCCTTGTTTGGGTATCAGCCAGCACATCAACGACTTAAATCAAGAAATAGTTTTCCAAGATCCACAGAGATACCCACTGGAACACCTCAGCAAGCAAGAGTCCAAAAGTGGCAGGCTCAAACCCAGAACCTCAATCCATGGGTGATACCAGATGAGAGACTCCCCCCTGGGCACACAGAAGACTGGGCGACTTGGAAGGCGCCGAACAGACTGTGCTCTGGCACCACGAGATGCAGAGCCAACCTCAAGAAATGGAGCCACAAAGTGGAATCCACGACATGCGAGGGTGGAGAAGAGCAAACCACAGACCACCTGCTGCAATGCAACCTGAGCCCTGCCACAGGCACAATGGAGGACCTTCTTATAGTAACACCAGCTACTGGTCAAAGGACATTTAATCAACTACCAAGCTTGCAAACTTCGTGTTTTGTCTGTTTGTTTGTTTGTTTTGTTAAAAATGTAATACAACTGTCTGGTTGCTCCTGACACGATAAATAAATAATAATCAAATTGCTGCCAATTCTGTAATCTGCCTTGAGTCGTCTTATGACTGAGAAAGGTGGGTTACAAGCACTGTAAATAGATAGATAAATAAACAAATAAATAAATATTTAGAGTACAGGAGCAACCGAGCCTAGGACACAGAAAGAGGCGGGCAGAAGGAGAGATTGTTAGCTGCAGGGCTGGGAGGAAAGCGCATGTCTAGCTGGAAGGGGGGGGGGGCTTAGAACATCTTGCTTCCATTTCCCCCCTTTTAACGTCATCCTGTAACTTCCCCCCAATGTGGAAAATGGTCTGGATTTTGGGGAGCGCCCTGGGACTCTCCTATGAAAGCTGCTGTCTCTGCGTTAAGAACATGCGCGGATGTGAGAAGCCTGCCAGCTTTCCCGATTTGGAGATCTCGCATCCTCCCCGCCCAACCTTCCTGTTCTGTTTTCTGCAGGGAAAGACTGAGCCGCGCACTGGGAAGAGCAGAAACGC